CCCTAACCATTCTATGATTCTATGAAAAAAAAATGTCACCATGAATGAAGAAACACCACCATCCTGAAACTGATCCTAAAAAACTATCATACTGTCTTGTATTTACTCATAAATATACAGAAAGTAAGAAATAACAGCAGCATAGGTTTGCACATTGGTTTCAGAGAGGCTTTTTTACTGTTTTTAGTTCTCAGCAGTATGCTTTTGAATGTTTAGGTAACCCTGTAGAATAAATGACTACAGAAGATATTCCAACCATCTGAACTTCTTCATTGTCAGCATGGGGAAAAATGAGAGTGGTTTCTTTTGTTTAAAGAGGGAAAATCAATGTTCTTTTGTAAATAGTTTCATTATTTTAAACATGAGGTCTGTGGAACAATCTTTTAATTTATGTTAGTAGTATATATTTATTCTTTGTTTACTATACTTTTTTTCCCAGATGAAAGCTGAAGAGGTAGAGCTGGCACTAGAAGAAGTTGAAAAAGCCGGAGAAGAGCAAGCCAAATCTGGTAAGCAAGCCCTTTTATGCTGTTCCTAAATGATTTGTTAAATGCATTTTTTTAGGTGACGGGATTTTTAAGTTTAGGGAACTGAATAAACTACCAACTGCTCTGAAGTCACTTGCTTCAGTGAAGCTAAATATTTAAAGACTAAGGTTAACCATTGTTATTTTATGTACTTTTTACCTGAGTGGGTAATTCACTGTATCTGTTCTATTTTAATAGAAAATCAACTTAAAACAAAGGTGATGAAACTTCAAAATGAATTAGAGGTATGTTTTAAAATTTTGCTAGTTTATAGCGTGCTGTTTGGTGGGTTTTTTAAGTGAGCTTTTTTAGACTGTTTTTTTTTATATTTGAATAAATCCCATTTATTTTTAGAGATTTCTGGCTTTTGTTGAAAGAAGCTAGTTAGCTCTTCCTTTTGCTTTTCCTGAATATTAGGAATGTTAGTCTTAGCATCTGCTTTGGTTTTTTAGTTCTTTCTATTTTGAAGAACTGTGCTATATTTATAATGTTATTTTAATGCTCTTAAGATGGCACAAAGATCTGCTGGTGGTCGTGATACTCGCTTTTTGCGTGATGAGATCCACCAACTGGAAAAACAATTGGAACAAAAAGAGAGACGATTAACAGATATAGAGAAGGAACTGGAAAAAGAGAAGAAAGTGAATGAACAGGTAAGAAGGACTTCAGCTTGACATCTCTAAAAGCTGTTCTGGCACATCTTTTGAAAAGTTGATGTTCTGAAAAGAGCCTCTGAAATTAAAAATAAGCACCGATGAAATAGGACTGCTATGCATTCGTTTTCTGTTTTGTTTCTGGAGTTCTTAGTTTTCATAGTTTGTAGTGTTAGTGATACATATAAAGGTTTTCCATCTTCTTCTAGCTTGCTCTTCGAAATGAAGATACTGAAAATGAGAACATCAAATTAAGGAGAGAGGTTAGTAAAGAATTATTGCTGATTTACTGTATTTTTAACTTTATTTATAAATATATTATTATCTTTCTGTATTTATAATCTTTGGTGTGGCACGATGTTTAATTCTGTTTTAAAATGTTTCCTGGTTGCTGGTACAAAGAGAATATGGAGTTTTAATCACATTTAGCAAATATCTACTACATCTGCTCCAAGGAAACTTAGTTAATTGAGGTCAGGAGGTGTCTACATATGAATTGACGTAGTCCTAGTGTGTGTTAATTTTGTCAGGATTTTGTTTTGAATTTTTAGTATTTTTCTTAAATACTATTGACAGATGGATTTGGTGGATATTAGATGGGATTCAGTTTAGGCTTGCTGCTTTTGCTAAGATTATCCAGTTGGTTAAAACAAAATTATAAAAAGTTAAAAGCTCATTCAACAATAAATGCAAAGATAGCTAACATTCTTTATTACTAGAAATTTTTTTTTAATCATTCTCTTGAAACATTTTTTCTAACTGTTTTTAGAAAAAAAACCCATGTTTTATAGCATTTAATACCTGTAATCTTAGACTCTAAAAGAATAAAATAGACAGCAAAAATTAAATTAATGTCTTGGGGAGAAACCTTGAGAAACATTCTTTAAAATGCCCTTTTATGTATGTGTGTATGTATGTACATGCATGCACATGTATATAAAAACCTCTTATTTTATTTTGTCTCTATGTTGATTCCTATGTAGCCTTCCTAAAGCAAAGATAATTTCTACTATTTTTCATGCTTTACTCTCTTGGTCTTTTTCTCTCCTTTTTAATCCGAAGAAAAAACGCATAAAGAAAAAGGTGAGGCTTCTAAGTTTTTTAAAAGCAGACTGTAGGAATTTGGATGAGTTTTGACTGTCTTAGCTCTTTGTGTTAGCTAGCTAGAAAAGCAACAACTTTGTCTTCAACTCTTCAAAATAGATTTAAGTTTGGATTACTTTCTGTGCAGAATGAACAGTTGCGTCAGGATGTAGTTGACTATCAGAGGCAAATAGATTCTCAAAAAGAAGCAATTCTATTACGAAGAGGAGAGGATTCGGATTACAGATCACAGTTGTCCAAAAAGAACTTTGAGCTTGTCCAGTACTTGGATGAAATTCAGGTAAAATCTGTGCATGCTATTATTAGACTGTTACGACAGTGTTTTTCACAAAGCTGTGTCCATTCGCAGATCAAGTCATGTGGAGTAAGGGAATTCGTAACGCGTTGGGTTCTGTGATGCATATACTCTGCATCTGTGAATCTGTCAGCTGTAATGAAGTTACTGGCAATGGGAGATGTGTCTTTTATTTGCTGTTAGGACTTGTTGATGATCTAGAGGCGGAATCTCTTCTGTGCTAATTTCGTGTAAGACTTTCAAGTCTTACATTTAAGGTAGCTATCACTTGGTGCTTATTTAGGTGTTAAGACGTGCACTTTTTAAAAGCAGCTTTTTCTTTAATTTTGCAGAATTTGACTGAAGCTAATGAGAAGTTAGACATTCAAAACCAAGAAATGAGGAAGAACCTTGAGGAATCAGTGCAAGAAATGGAGAAGATGACTGATGAATATAACAAAATGAAACTAATTGTGCAACAATCTGATATTCTTATGGATCAGTTAAGAAAAGAGAAAGAACAGTACAAATTTCAAGTAAGAACTGACTCTTACGTTATTTAATGTAATTTTTTTTTGTTTATACTGGTTTTTCATATTTTAGCTTGAATTAAAAAACATTCAACATAATCAGTTAAACACACACACTCTACTGAAATAATCATAGAATCATAGAATGGTTTGAGTTGGAAGGGACCTTTAAAATCATCTAGTTCCAGCTCCCCTGCCATGGGCAGGAACACAAAACACCAGGTTGCTCAAAGCCTCATCCGGCCTGGCCTTGAAGACTTCCAGGGATGAGGCATCCACAACTTCTCTGGGCAACCTGTTCCAGTGCCTCACCACCCTCGTAGAGAAGAATTTCTTCCTTAGATCTAATAGGAATCTCCCTTCTTTCAGTTTAAAGCCATTGCCCCTTTTCCTGTCACTACACGCTCCTGTAAAAAGTCCCTCTCCAGCTTTCCTGTAGGCCCCTTTTAGGTACTGGAAGGCTGCTAGAAGATCTCCGTGGACTCTTCTCTTCTCCAGGCTGAACAAACCCAACTCTCTCAGCCTGTCTTCACAGGAGAGGTGCTCCAGCCCTCGGATCATCTTCATGACCCTCTAATACTCTCTAAAATAGTACGATCTTTAAATTTGGTGCAAATTTAAAAACTTGACCGCAGGTCACAAAATTTTTTTGTACAAAATGTTAGTCATGCTTCCTTCCTGCAGTGCTAATCTGTTAAATTTTATGTGCTTGATGTAGTGTGTTTGTACATATATATTGGTTAAGCAAAATATTTTTGTGATACAATGTTCATCCAAATGGCGTTTCTAGATTCAGGAGCTTTCGAATCAGCTGAAAGCAAAGAATGAGGAAGACGATCCACTCATGGCAGCTGTAAATGCAAAAGTTGAAGAATGGAAGGTACTTTTAAATACTTTTAAATTATTTTTAGGATTTTTTTCAAGTGTTCTGATGGTATTTTATCTCCTTTTCAGAAAATCTTAGCTTCAAAAGATGATGAACTCCTAGAATGTCAGGAAACCTTGTTTAACTTGAAAGAGAAAATGAAAATGGCCCAACTTGATGTAGACAGGAACAGTATACTGGCCCTTCAGCAGGTACAGTCTATGTGAGAAATTACACACGTATAAATTACCATTCAATAAATACGCTAATGACCAAATAGTTGTTTAGTCTTTCATAGTTTGCAAATACCAGAATATCTATTACTTGTGTTTGAAAATTGTGAGACAGGTTGATTCATTCCACTACAAAGTTAGCTTAATAGACATGCACAAAGGAAACTTCTCTTGCTCTGTGTATGAACTGAGCTCTTGGTAGTTGGTTCTGTTACTTTCACATTTATCTTTCCTAACTATTAATAGAGTGATTGCTTTAACATCTAAGCATGCATAATTTAATGTTTTAAAATTATAGCTTAGTTTCAGTCTTCTAAATTTGTTAGTCAAGGAAGAGCCTGACCTAGTGTTTAATTTTCTGTGTTCCTTTGTCTCACCTGACGCCTGTTAAGTCCGTGGTTCAGCCCATGATAGAGATAGCTGAATTTAAATATCTCTCATATTCATGAAAAATTACGTAGTTCTTTATGGTTTTTAATTTCCCCACTTTACTGAAAAAACATAAAAAGTATAAATAAATAATGCAGCCCATTAGGAACCCTGAAATATGCGTTACGGAAAGCATAGTGTATGATACCAGAATGATTTCCTGCCTTGTTTCAAGTGTTTTTAAAAAATGTGTCATGACGTTTGGGTTAGGTGTTGGGCCCTTGTAGATTGAGCAGTATGACGTGATACATTTTTGCAGTCTTCCAAAACTAAGAACAGATAGCTTCTCAGAGAAAAAACCCCAAACAAACCTGAAGTACAAATGAGCCTCTCATGATTGAAAGTGACTTTGATAAGTAGTTGTATAGTCTGGTTTTAGCTGACTAGATGACTGTAGAGGTTGCTTTTTTGGATGACCGTTGTTAGCATGATACTTTGAACAGTTTTGTGGAAATAAGCATATTTTTAAAGCAAAAGTTAAATCAAGTTACTGTATTGTGTTTTAACTCAAAATGGAATGAGCTTATTATGATTTAATATATGTTTACATTCTAAAGGGTTGTGTTTAGCTCTTTACATGTTTGCTAAGCTCTTTACCTCTAGATTTGAAATGTGGTTATATTTGTCCTCTAAGAAAGCCTGAGCTTTTGTTTTTCATAACATTGGTATAAAGTAAGGTTGGCAACTCTTGAGATTTTTACATTATAATTACGGTCATAACTTTTTTTCTAATTATCTTTTTTATCCTTTTCCTCTTTTTTCGTTCATCACAGAACAAATAACATTAAGCTGTCTGTGATATTTCTAAAGTTCATGTATAAGCATGGAAATAGTATTATATAAATAGAATTCACTTTCACAGTCTGTGTGAACTTATGGATGCATGCAAAACAAGGTGTGATATGAATTCTTAAAATTTAGATGACTTCCTGACAGGCAGCCTGCAGTACAGGTGTTATGTATGATGGATTGTTAGTCCTCCCAATCTTGAACTTGTATCTCTCAGATCCCGCTGGCAATTATTCATGAGGAAGCTATAGGAAACCTGCATTGTCTGAAACTTTTCATCCTAGCGTTGTCTGAAACTTTTCATCTCTAACTGTTCCATTAATTGATATACTAAAATACTGTCTTTAGTTTTTGTTCTGTTTGAATGCTTTATTTTTACTCTTTCTTTTATTTTTCCTGCTTTGCCTTTATATACCCAACTTCTAGATAATATCTGAACTCTGTGTTGTAAGTACAGTATATTTCATATTCTATAACTTGTTTTGTATTAGCTGCTTTTAATTTCTTCGTTTACTATGTGGTGTCCTATATTGGTAGCTTGCCTGTCAATAAAGAATTCTTTAATGGAGTTTCTTTTTTTTTGTGTGTAGGGTGTACAAGAGCGAGATGCTCAGATAAGATTGCTTACTGAGCAAATTGAACAGTATACCAAAGAAATGGAACAAAATGCATTTATTATTGAGGAATTAAAAAATGATCTCCAAAAAGATAAAGGTAACTTAGAATCATAGAATGGTTAGGGTTGGAAGGGACCTCAAAGATGATCTAGTTCCAACTCCCCTGCTATGGGCAGGGACACCCTCCACTACACCAGGTTGCCCAAAGCCTCATCCAACCTGGCCTTGAACACTTCCAGGGATGTGGCATCTACAACTTCTCTGGGCAACCTCTTCCAGTGCCTCACCATGAGCATTTTTTCCTAATGTATGTGGAAAGCAAAATAAGAAACCACAAATTTACTGTGCATTCTTTGTTCTCTAGAAATACGGAAAAAATATTTGCAGTATTCAGTTATATTAGTCTCTAATTTTTTTGTTTATTTCCATTTATTAAACATTTGTGAAGAGTTTAAATTTATTTGCAGTACTTCAGTGGGTTTTATGGGTAGTACAGCGTCTAATAAAAATATACTTGGTCTGTGAAGATTAGAGCATAACATACAAGGTCTCAGCTCTATCAAGAATTGCAAGTGAGTATTAGCATGCAATTAAAAATAAATTCTGATGTCCCTTATGTGCAGTTGCTTCATGTAAATATTGTTTGAATCAGTGATTGGGGGGGAAAAAAAAAAGCTCTTATATGTAATCTTTTGTAATTACTTAATCAAAAAGAGCAGAAAATGAAGATCTCTGTTAATAACCTGATCTCAAATGTTTCTTTCTTGCGTAATGGCTGATAGCAAGAATTCCTGGTTGAATTGTAAGCAGATCAAGGTTTTTCTTTCCAGGTCACTCAACTCTTGCTCAGCAGAATCGTATTGGGGATATGCAAGAAAAGTTGAAAATGCTAGAAGAGAGAACTAAGGAGGCTGAGAAAGCAGCAGAATTAGCAGAAGCAGATGCTAGAGAAAAGGACAAAGAGCTTGTTGAGGCTCTGAAACGAATGAGGGACTATGAACTGGTAATCAATTTATCAGAGTGGACAGGGTAATTTCATCATTTGTTTAGGACATCATTTTGTCCTGTTTTTTATTGACTATGTTTTAATTAGAAATTAAATTAATGACTTCTGATGCTGGTCTGTTTTTTTTTTTTTCATAACATTTAGTGGCCACCGACTGCATGCAATTTGTTGGCAAGACTTAACAATTTTTACAAGTTGTCAGTTTTAACGTACTCATATGGGCGTCTGAAGTCCGTTGAGCAGTAATCGAACACTCAAGATACGATTCTTCCAAGGATCATGTACTAAGAGGACTCCATTTTGAAATATGCAGAGAGTCCTCTTTAGTCAAAAGACAGATTTGTAGATCTGCTTTTTATTCAGTTACTTTTTTCACTAAGCATAGAGCAAAAACATTTTTTTCTTATCTGTTTGATGATGAAAGACAGATTCATAGTTTATTTTCTTACATCTTCTGTTAGTTGTTTTGTTTTTACTTTCCATTTGGGTTTTTACAGGGAATATATGGCTTGGAAGAGGCTGTTGCTGAAATAAAAGGTTTGAAAAGGCAAATCAAAATCCAAGATCATGAGATTGAAACATTAATTAAGGAAGTCAATAAACTTGAACTTAAAATAAATGATTTTCTTGATGAAAATGAAGAACTCAGAGAGCGCTTGGGTATGCTATATCCATTACATTTTCAATTATTTGTTGTGTAAGAATCGAAATAATGTTATATCATGGAAATCTTAGTATAGTAAGTAACTACTTGGAAATAATTTTGTTTATTCTGCTAATATTTGCAAGCATTTTTAGGTAGTTAGGACAAACTGCATGAATGTACATGACTAAACTTCAACGTACATGATTAAACTTGACTTACAGGTTGCTTTGAAGAAAGTTTTGTAGTGCTTTTTTGGTTTTGATTCCTTTTTGACTGTACACTGGTTAATTAATTTTATATGGTATTTGGAAACCATAACATACTGAAATTGTAAAGCTAGATTGAAAAACACAGAACACTTTAAACGGGTTTATTTTTACATAGAAGAATGTAAGCATAAGTATAGTTAATTTTATGTGGCATTTTATTGCATTTTGTTTTTTGTGTAACTGAAGTAAACTTATGCTTCTGGTGCTATTACATGGACCATAAGATGTGTGTTCATGTGTAGAAATACTTACATATATTGAACTATCAACATTTTTTTAAAAATTTTATTTGACTAGTCATGTTCTTATTTAAATTAACTGCATTCTAATGACTACTAGCATTAATGTTCCTCCTTAATTAATAATGATACAGCATATACTGTATTTTAGGTCTTGAGCCAAAGACAATGATTGATTTAAATGAATTCAGAAACAGCAAAGTGCTGAAGCAGCAGCAATATAGAGCTGAAAACCAGATTCTTTTGCAAGAGGCAAGTGATAAATCCTATTTTTGTCTAAAAGCTACATAATAAAAATGTATTTGAAAAAAATGAAGTACTGATCTGTGAATAATAACATGCAGATTGAAAGACTAGAAGAGGAAAGAATTGAACTTAAAAAACAGGTTCGTAAGTTGGCTCAGGAGAAAGGAAGAAGAGTTGCAACAATAGGTAGGATTTTTTTTTAGTATAAACTAAACTATTCTTTCAAAAACATGCGCCTATATTTATTAATATAGCTATGTTATATTTATTCATTTGTTTAAATTACAAGGCTAAATGCATTTTATTGAATCTGTAGGAAGAGGTGAGTGGTTCTGTATTTCCATAGTCTTACAGCCTATGAAAAAGCTGCTGAGCTTTTTGACTGATGATGACTAGTAATGCATCACAGAGAGCTGTGTCTTTGGCTTGTAGTTCTCAGATGCAGGATGATCTTACCATGATTTCCAGTAAATCTATATAATGTATGTATTTCAAAAATCTTAAAATTTCAATTCTGTGCCCCTCAGGGAAGTGCAGTGTGCTCAAATGGAAAGGTTCACAGCTTCTTACTTTGCAGGTAGAAAACTAGAACTCAGATATACTAAGTGGAATATATTCCCTTTGGAAATAAATTAAAAATTCATAATCATTTATTACTTGTACCTTTACTTGCAATTAGAATTGGATGGTGGTGATATGCAGATAAGTGACAGCTTTACTGAAGAGAAGGAAATGAATAAGAGGAAGCTGGATTCCTTGAACAAACATCATATTGCTGAAGTAGAAGCAAAGGTAGGTTCATAAAACAAGTTCATAAACTTTTATTGTGTTTCTCTTTGAAAATAAAAATAATTTTTTTTTTTGGTGAATATCTCTAGGTGCTTTTATTAACTGCTTTTTAAAAATCCAAATATTAATAATTTGTAATTTTTTTAGAACACTAATAAATATTCTGTATTTTTTGTGAATATAGGCTAGCAGCTCGTGTAATGTGGAAAGGAGAAACACACTTGCAGATAGAGAAGCACCAGTTAGACTTTTGAAGTCAGAGCAAGATATAACTGGAAACAGTAAGGCTGTGGGAAATCTGCCTAGAAGAACTTCTGGCATACTTGAGAATTTAGATCACTTGGGAAAAAATAGAAGTAATTCTTCGGTTCGTTTAGGTTCAAAACATGTGACAGAGTGGCAACTAGTTAATGAGAACTGTAATTCTGAACCTCTTAGTATAAGAGAGCTTTTTGTATCACCAGAGCGACAATTTACACAGGCATCGGGGACGAGAGATTATCCAGACAATAAAGAGATGTCAAAAGACTTGAAACCAGAGTACGCAGGTTCATTTTCTGCCTGTCAGCGAGTGTGTCAGACCTCAGAGGTGAATAACCGAAATTTTAATAACAAACCATCTTTTCAGAATCAGATGTCCATAACTTCTAATTCAGACCAAGCAGGCCAGGAAAAATTTTGTCCAGAACTACCTCCTAGCAAAAACTCTCTGATTCCTTATGCATGTGCTCTTGCAAAGCCAGTAGCGCACAAAACACGAATGACATTGAAGGATAAGCAAGACTATTCGCAGGTAAACTTTCCTGGTTTAACTGCCTTTCAAGAAGACAGAGAAGGAAAGAAATGCTTAACAGGATTGTTACAAGAGAAAACTTTGGAAAGTGGACTTGAAAATGGACAATCAGAACGCTCAGGTCAGGTAGATCCTGTTGAAAATCTCATAGAGCAATTGAGGAGAGAATTAGCCCTTCTTAGATCACAGGTGAGACGCTTTTATAGTACGTGTATGTTTATATCTATTGCAGTTATTTAGAAGATAAATTCAAATAATAAAGATGTGTTAATTTGCTTTCATCTTTATTAATTAAACCTGTAGGATAGTTTGAATGAATTGGGCATTTTTTCTTCTAATAAAAAAAGTGTCAACTCATTCATTTGCAGTATATTTGTTGACATAGGATTGTAAAATGTAGGCATATATTTTCCCTCTGTCAGTGGAACAAATTTACATAACACCGGTGGACGCGCACACAGATGGGTACAAAGAGAGAACAGTTTTTTTTCTAAGACCTTAACACACATCTGTGTAAACAAAATACTCATCACTTTTCTTATTACATGCAGCCAAATGTCTCGTACAAATCAATTGCTGCAAGTGTATTTTAAACAACATAATTTGAGTATTATTTTTTAAAATTGTTTTAAATAAATACAGAGGAATACAAATGGTAATTTACAAGCGTTAGTTTAATGAAGTAGGGACTGAGTCAGTCCTTTGGTATGGAAGATGAGAGATGAGACTTCTGTTAAAAGACGCAGATGTTATTTGACTGGAGAATGACTTCTACCTGCAGAGAGAGCAGATGGTGTAAAGTTAGACTTTTGGAATGAGAAAGGCCTTTCCTTCTGGGAAACATCTAGTTCTTGAGTTGGTGGTTCTATCCTTTTATCTATTTCCTTGCCAACTGGCAAAGACAGTGTATATCAGTTTTCAGAAAAAAAGATTTCCACTGAAAAATTCCATTATTTACTAAAATTATCTCTAATGATAAAATCTTTAGGTTCTTAAAAGGGTTTCTGAAAACTTTTTATGATCAGTGAAAGAAAGGTTAATTTCAGGATGCTTGGTGTTGTTTCTTTTATTCACATGGTAAATCGTATTAAAAAATTATTCTTAAATTGGTACCTTGAAATGCTGTGTTAGTTTTGTGTATAGTGGAGGACATTGCTCTGGTTGCCAGAGATACATCTGTGACATGGATCAAGCCAATCCCTCAGAGCTCCACAGATTTTTGGTCTGCACCAGAGTGTTGTTCCAACTGCTTCATGATCCAAGAATGCATGTTTCCTTAGACAGTGTTCTATGGGATGCACGTTGTGCAATTCTTCCAGTGAATCCATCTCTGTCACCGTTGCATTTCAGGCAGGAGATTCATAAATGGACAGGGAAATTTTCATAAAGGCAAATTTGAAAAAAGGCTGGGACTAGAACGTTAGATTGCTAAAATTAGAATCGGTATTTTTTGTCTGGGAGAAACCATCTAGGGATGTGATGAGGAAACATCACAGTTACAGTGTGTAAGATAAGCAAATAGGTATTTCCTCTTTTTAACTGACATGTCTTGGAACTGATGGCATTTCTGTCGCGTCTGTAGAGCTATGTAATTGATTAATGGCAAGTATAAGTCTATATACATCAATCTTTTGTCAATTATACAAGAGTTATTCCATGCTACAGGAGTATGCTTTGCTGTTGTGATTTCTCTTAAAATACTGTGTTAGCCAAGCTGTGGAATGAATAATGCCTAGTAATTGTATTTTCAGTAGAAAAGAAGTGACTTTTTTGTATTTTGGAAGGTAAGTTTTGGAAATATGATTTTAGTGTATGTAAATGGAGATAGAATCCTATACTAATAACTTACTGTTGGGGTTTTTTTTAGAATGAGCAGGTATCCAGAGATTTGCTGATCAAGAATGTGCTAAATAGCTATACAGAATTAAGTCTTGAAAGATGCAGAAGCCAGGCAGCACAGGTAGTACCAGGTTTTTTAAAAAACGAAACAGGATAAATATTTATATAAAGCTTATTCATGGTTGAAATAATTTTTTCCTGAAAATTTTGTTGCTGTGAAGGTGAGACTATTTCTTTGATTGTTGCCTTCTATATAACACCTCATTGTGGTTTACATGCTATGTAATTTCACTGTTGAATATATATGGATTAGCAATGTTTTCAAGCATTTATTCTCATTTAACCACAGAGTCTTAACGAAAATTCTGATAATTAAATTTCTAAATTACATTTTTTTGAGTTTTCTTTGTTCTTTTCCTTAGAATGAGTATCTTGCAAATGAATTGAATGTGAGAGAGAGAGATTTGGAGAAGAGCAGGACTGAAATAGCCAAGTTTCAATCTAAATGTAAGTTACAACCTGGTTTAAAACTAGGGAATTTTATCAGGTACCTGCAGATAGTCTGCTTATTTAGTTGTTCTGTTTCTGTGATTGTGACCACAAATACCCGACTTTACAGTTCTGTTTTAAATGCAGTTTACTTTGGTATTGTCCTAGTTTTGGCTGGGATAGAGTTAGTTTTCTTCTTAGTAGCTGGAATAGCACTGTGTTTGGGATTTAGTATGGGATTTGGTATAAGAAGAATGTTGATAACATACTGATATTTATAGTTGTTGCTAAGACATAAGGACTTTCCAGGTTCCCAATTTTGCCAGTATGCAGGCACACAACAAGCTGGGCGGGAACATAGCTGGGACAAAGGGCCCACAACTCCTGGTTTAGGATTTGAGTTTAGGCTTAAGATTGAGGCCCAAATTGGCCAATGGAATATTCATAGATTCATAGATTCATAGAT